CTGTAGTTCATCATGAGATGATTTTTGGTTTTTACACCTAGGTATTAGTGAGTTAATATAATGACTTTGTGTTCAGGTGATCTGGAACCTACACGAAGGCTCATTTTCCTGAAGTTTGAAAGCCAAATGCATATTGGAATAGTAGTTAAAAGTTAAGAGAATTGTATTCTAAAACATAATGTTAGTTCACTGGTATGTTTAGACAACAATAGTATCTTTACTATTGAACACACTGGTTGCTTCTCTGTCTGGAGTCACCACATTGAAATAGACAGGTATAACTTATTCTTTGACTTATCTGTGCATGGACAGAGACAAAAGCACTGCCTTGTGACCACTGTAAGCATTAAACCACTACATTATTCTCAAATGTACAAATACCCAATGCCTCTTTATTCCTCTTAGTGTCACTTTGTGACACATGTAAAAACCAACCCTCAATGCTGCAGCAGCTGTGATACAGGTCAGAGCCTTGGGATCTTCCCTCAGTCTTCTCCAGAGGTAGAAGGCAGAAAATTGTGAAATTCTTGCACACTGCCAAACAGTGAACCCCTCTGCCCCCTCACAGACCTCCTCTCTGTATTGTTACATGCTATTCTTTCTTCCACTCACCACTGTATGTAGCTCTAATGTGTTTGACATGGGTTAGAGCGTACAACTTCCCACAGGCAAATTCTGCACCACAAAGGAAAGCTGGATTAGGTGACACAGCTGAGTAGGTGTTACAGAGGCCTATGGAGACTGAGCTCTTCTTATGAGTGATGTCAGTTTTTGAACACATGCAAAGTGAAAGTTTTGATCAAAATGTGTATAAACGGCGATTAATAAATGATGTAATTGATGGAGTTCAGATGCCTGCTGTCATGTGGCACTTGAGAGGCAAGCCTGCTCTGTTCTGCGTGTATGTGCATTAACACGCTGGTGCATGTGAGAGGGGAGAATGGGCTGTCTCTCAGGATGTGCTGCAAGCGCTTTATTAGAGCGGTAGTACCAGTAAATCAGAGCTCAGCCCTTCCTGGAATTGCTGCAACCTTTCCCACTGAGCACTATTACTGAACAATCATAGGCCAGCCATGATAATTAGCAGAGTATCTATTCACCCAACCCTCCTGTCGCCCCTTCTCATTCTGCTGCTGCAGCCTCCATCCCTGTCCACTTCTTAAACATGTCTGATAGGGAGTCTGGCGCCCGCTGGACCTCCTTTTTACCTGGCATAATTTTACAACCTCAGTTCCCAAAAATCAGGTATGATATGATGCCAAATGTAACTAAAACAACATGCAATCAGCCGGAAATAGTCTTTTATAATTAAAATCTGTATATCTAACTTCCAATAAAAAAGCATGCACACACTCTTGTTATGTGTGCTGATCCATATTCCCCCCATTCCCCCCGTTACTATCATGAATTATCACCATCAATTTGTTCTGCCTCCACGTATTAACAGATTTTTATTTTAAGATAGCATTTCCTGTTCAACTTCTCAAAGTTTACTGTCCAAAAGAGACAATTAGGATCCATTGATTATACCTTATTTATTGTATAAAAGGCATAAAACATATATCATCTGAAAATGGGTAAAGGCTCATCTGATTTGAATAAAATAATTGCAGCATGATACATAGTGATTCTGACCCAGCCCTTAGTGCACCAGTGTACATTGTCCAAGAGCAATGGAGTCAATCCTGGTACTTATAGTCATTAATGGGAAGAGGTCAATGGGGCAAGCATTTCTGTATCTGAGAAGCGGGTTGTTTTGCTGAATAGCATCATCAGTGAAATACCCTAATGTGTTTTAATGTAACCACTAATCCTCTCATTCACATCACAGCCCTTCCACCTCGATTAGGTTTCATTGTGATTATTCTCTCTGTGGTGTGGACGAGTTTTTTTGTTCTTCCATGTTAACTGATTCTTTTGGATTGCACTGAAGGGGAAAATAGTGCAAGTCTATCTGAAATGTAATGACCCTGTGTATGTCAGGATTCAGGATAGATAAAACCACATGCGATCAAATGTGTTGAGAGAGATGAAGACACCGCATGCGGCCAACATGTGAAAAGTTTGTGTGTGCAGCTCTAGGGTGTGAGGACTTTCTCGGTTAAAGATTCTCTGTCTGATAGTGACGGCACTTTCTTCCTCTCCTTCCATTGCCAAGCGGCATCTGGAGTGGATTTTGTGCTAGCAGACACCGAGGAACATGATTACATTCGGCTAACTGTGCTCTAAACTGATTATGCATGTGCCAAGCTAATGGACTACATTTGCAAGAGGAAAAATAACATCCAATCAATCTCAATTACCGCCGATTGCACCGGCCCCTGAGACGAGGAAGGTAGCCAGCTAACCCCAAGGCTGAGCTCCTCCCCTTTGCCTAACCCCTGACTGGAAGCGGAGGCCTGTGGCTGGGCCTAAACCCCACCCATTATGTCTGCATATAACAGGCCTGTTGGACTAGTTCCACTCATCTCAGCAGCATAGGCAGACAAAAAGCTACTGTTTACACAATATGCTATCTACGTAACAATCAACTATGTACATGCTGTACCTATATTAAATTAGAATGGCTTTTCTGTTTTCACAGATACAGCAGACACAGCCAGTGAGGTGAGAAGGGAACACCACCTAGCAGCCTGAATTGAGCAGCAATCATACCTGTGTCCAGGTGAGCCCCAAGACATGTCATTATTCTACTGTGTTTGGAAGTTAAAACTGTGTATTTCACAGTAAATGGGAGAAGGCATAGGTTACAGAGGTTCATGCCGCCGGGACGCCTCGCTGGATCTTCAGTAGTCTTTCGGAACATTCCAGCATGCGGGGTAGTTGGGGTGATATTTTTAGAAAGCCCTAATATGGACCACATACCACAGACTCTCAAATTATCCCATCCAGCGTAGCCCTCAGTTTAAACCTTCCTTTTTAATTCCTGTAATTACAGACTCCAATTTATATGGAGCTGTGCACACAAAGGCTCTATTTAATGCAAACCAGTTTGATTTGGGTGAAGTGTCCCTAGCATCTCCCACATCAGACGCAGCGTTTGCTGACTCAATGATTTATTTTCCCCTGAAAAAGGTTCAAATGGTGCTATTTGTTTCAGATTTCTTTGGGGAGTAACACTTTAATGATGATTTTTCCTGTTTTTGTACTTTGCATAATATTCAAAGTTTGTTTATGGTCTTGTGGCCCACTGTGGGCTTCTTGCTGTCAGTATCTTTACCAGGATTGTAAATCCAACACAGTGCACAGACTCTAACTATGTCAAGTGGGGAGTCTGCACAGCCAAGAGACATCCCAAACATATATTTGTTGTCCGCTAATCACATTTGAGAGTCATAAAAGGCTGACATAATTCTTGTCAGCCACTGCACATCTTTGTTTTTGAAGCCTGCCTCTGCGGCAGAGGGCATAAAGGCCTTACTGTTCTGAGGTTGAGTGAGCAGGTAACTTCTGGACAAATGAACACGCTCTTAGTCACAAGATCAATTGGTTTTAAGAAATATGGAGCCATCTTAAGAGGCTTAAGTCATAAAAAATGATCATGCCTGGATGTGTTGTACATATTTAATCCCCTCTGCCTGAGCAGCAGTGTGACATATGTCTGCTGTCTTCAAAAAGAGTGTGTCTTCTGCATTTTGGGCTTACAGCTTACAGTGGTACGCACAGATCATAAAACGTAAATGGGCTACTGTCTACGGTGTATTTACCCTGGGAGACCAATAAGCGCTTTGATAGGTGTGAGGAGCAGTAAGAGAGTGTCAGAGCCTGTCTATTTCAGGCTGGTGGTACTGTCATTGGAATGTGGGCTATGATCAGTACAGCTCCTCAGGCCAAGAGTTTAATACTATACTCTTGCTACTTGCTGCTAGTAATTGACTATTCACACACACTGTATACTGATCTATTTATCTTAACACTGAAACATTCTCTAGAAGCTCCTGCGTCCAGTCAGTTTTCACACAATAAAAAAAAATTGCTGCATAAAACCCAAGTGCAAAGATGCCACTAGAGAGCAGAACTACTCATATTGTTGGATGACTTTCAAATAGCCTTTTTAAGTGAGTTTAAATGAATCACTTCAGCCCAGCTCCAGTCTGGAGAAAACACTGTAATTACGGCAGCACATTACTCAAATAAATATCCTCTTGGCTTTAATTAAATATCCTCTTGTCTTTAAAGCTATCCTGTGCATTTTGAAGTGGGACTAATTTGGTCTAAAATGACACAATCCAATTGTTTAATTTGTTTGGTGTTCATACATGTAAATGTTTTTAGTTTATTTAACAAGGAGTAATGCACTGTAGTAAACATATCCGTATTCATACAGATATGGTGGGAGAAATCTGTCGGCCAAAGACTCAATGACAGTATGCAATGCCAGGAGGGAATGCTTGCAGCTATAATTATTTCCTAATAGCAGAGTATGTATAATAGAAGGGCTATGTTTTATTACTGTGTCTGTGGGTCAATGTGCTGGTGTGCACAGCTATGCCAGATTAGGTTAAGTGTAGAGTGGCTAAAGCCACAGACACATAGGATAGATACCTAAGTGGAATCAGGCCTGTTAGATTTATGGCCATTTGTTCGGTGAGTGTTCATCCATTGGCTATTATGGAATGATTAGAGGAGAAGGTGAAGCTCCAAGTCCAGCAAAAATCAATACAGCTGTCGAGAACGATTCAGCCTTTCCCGCTCCGAGGAGTATTAGCACCAAACCTCTGTCTCCTCACACTTCTTTATTCGTCTCCTACTGGTTCCGCCATCACAAGCAAACCAGCTTCACCTACCACTATCTTCAGTATGAGCTAAGAGTTACAATCAGCTAACAGTAACAACAGTCACTCACTATCACTAGCACATGCGCACTGTGCACGGTTTGATAAGAGAAAAATAAATGTAAAAATGCATTTCATTTTTTAATTGCAAGATTTACACATTATTGGCCATGAACAGGGTGTGGCAGTGAATAAAAGCCAAAGAGACAGTGTTTTTACACTAACCTTGTAAAGTTTGAGGCTAGCTTCATGTCGGGAGTTGACAGTGTGCATCCTCAGCTTCTCCAGACTGTTGGTGTAGTAGTCACAGGCATTGCACTTCAAGTGAACTGGATTTCCAATGGCCACACACTTGAGGCGCCACTCATTGCCTTTGCCTCCTTCTTTAATGTGTGCCACCAGCTGGTACTTCTGAACATGCTTGTCTGTCTTACAGTGCAGCTGAAAGTTGGCCTTGAGCTGGGTGGTGTAGTGGCACAACTTGCACTGGTGTGAGTCTCCCACCACAGCCCTCCACTCCTCCTCTGGCAGGCTGCGCTCAGCTCCCATGTGCAGGCCCAGCACCTCCAGATTATCGGTGGTGAAGCGGTTGCACACAGCACACTGAAAAAGCTTCAGGGAGGGATCGCTGGTCTGGGACAGACTCTCTCCCAAAGTCATCAGCTCCTCGGACACCAACTGCCCTCCACCCAATCGGACATCCATAGGAATATCTCCTCCTACTGGACAAAATTACAAAGTGCTATATTCTACTATATTAAAATTATGCACATGTTATACATTATATATTTGGAAACAAGTGTACAAATGTAACATCTAGTCTTCAGATAACAAAAGAATGGTGAAATGATGGTACAACTGGATGCTTGTTTATGTTCATGTTTGTTCACAGTACAAAAAAGAACAAACAAAACGTATCTTTAAATAGCAGACTGGGAATTTGGGTTAAATACCATCAAAATACTAAAATTATTGCTGTCAAATGCAGTTCTTACAACTTTCTCTAAGAAATATAATTAAACCCCAGAATCATTTAGAGATTTACTTTACTGTGTGATGACCACAAATGTGGTCTGCCCTCTAATATTTCCACTATGTAGGTCTATAATGAGGGATGACCCTACAGTAGTTTATTGCTATGCACATTTGTCATTCTGGCCTTCTGTGTAAAATGTTTATCAAAACTGCCCACAATACATGTTTGCGTTCTGCATCCTCATCATTGTAGACTTATCGTTTACATACAGTACATTAATCTTTCTCGTTATTATTATAATGCATTTATACTTATTACTTGTTACTTATTTCTTACCAAGTGCAGGAGCCAAAGCAGCCATATTTGGGTCCAGGTGAAAGCCTCCCATCAGAAACTGTGCCTCTGCTCCAGCAGGGTCTATCTTGAGTCCCGGTGGAAGGCTCATGTTTTGGCTTAGGTAGTACTGGTAGAGTTCAGCCTCAGACGGCGATGGCATAGCTCCAAGACCAAGGCGGCCATGTTGCATCTGTGTGACGTTCTGCTGGAGAAGCATCATGTTGTGCATGTGCTTCTCACTTGTCATATGGATACGAAGGTTCCGTGCCACATTGGTCTCATAGTCGCACACCTCGCACCTCCACGTAGGCTTGTTCTTCAACTTGGTAGGTGAAGGGGCACCACACTGCCCTCCCATGTGACTGGAGGACTGAGTGGGGTGGTGGTGAGGAGGGTGATGGCTGCTAGCCTGTGTCACAGACGGCACAGCCACCACACTTCCTGGGGCATGCCCGAACACCTGTTCCTGTGCAGAGCCAATGGAGCCTCCATTCTGTAGTGACTGCATGTTGTTCAGATGCTTGTCTGACTGCATGTGGATACTGAGGTTGCCCTTTGTGGTGGTAGAGTAGTTACAAACCTGATGAAAGATTTTAACAAACTGTTAAAGGAGATATGAGTAAGAACTTGTTCTTAATGTTTTGTGTGGTAAAATAAAGGTTCAATTAAACAAACACAAAATGGAGGTGTAAAGAACAAAAGAGAGTGCAGGTACAGCAATGTCTTACCTCACAGCGAAAGGGCTTGTACCCACAGGTATAGCTCTCCCCTCGGGCCAGGCGTGGGTGACTCTGACCACTGCTGCAGTACATGCAGGAGCCTCCAGAATCAGGGTGCTTCTCTTTCATGTGGGCCTCCAACGTCTGCTGGTACTTGTAATGCCAGTTACATTTGGGACATTTTAGTGTCTTACATGAGTTTCGTGAGTGCATCATTGTCATGTGACCACCCAAAGACCGCGATGAGCCAAGAACTGTGTCACATTTGGGGCACTCTACCCCGCTGCTTCCGCCGACTCCACTCCCATGGTTCTGTGAACACTCACTGAGGGCAGAGAGATCACAGGCGCCCCCTGTGAGAGGGTGGGTGTGGCTGTGAGACGAGGCATGGAGGTGGTGGTGATGGTGGTGCATGTGGTGATGAAGCAGAAGAGAGCCATTCTCCTCCTCTCCCTCTGCCGGGCAATCATTTGGTTCTGGAGCTGTGGCACTATCTTGATTGGCACTTTCATCAGCAGCAGCATTGGAGGACAGAGGTGAGGAGGGAGTGCCAGCAGTGTCGTCCTCACTTCGTCTGACGGCATTTGTCACCATTGCCATAGAGCCAGAGGACCCTTGGCAGTTAAAGCTCAGAGGGAGCTCCGAGGTCCTCCCTTCACCATCTGCAGCTGAGCCCTCGTCCTTGACAGAAGAGGAAGTGGAAGCAAGGGCTTTGCTGCTGAGTGTGGAACTGACTGCAGAGGTGCAGGCAGAAGGCTGGAGAGCGCTACTAGGCATTAATAAAGGAGATTTGGAAATGCTTTGGTTTGAGACAGCTGGTTCCCCTGCTTCACCGCTGCTACTGTTACCACCACAGCCTACCTCCTCTTCCTCTTCTCTAAATAACAGATCCTCAACCTCTTCTGAGCCTCCAGTCCGACTCAGGAGGTGGGCCCTACTTTCGTGTTGTTCCTTTTCCCCATCCTCACCTTTGCATGCCAACTCTTTCCCCCCAGACTCTTCTGTTCTCCCTACCTGTAGGGAACTGGAGTCTTTGGCAGAGCCTGGGGATAAGGTAAGAGTGGATGTTTTGGGAACACTGAATCCGCCGAGTGAGAGGACGGAGTTGAGTGCTGTTTGTGGTTGCTGCTGTTGCTCAAGGCCAGATTCAGAGTCTTTGTTCAGGACACCCTCGCTACCTGCACTGCTGCTGCCAGGCTCCAAATGGACACCACTAAAGGTCCCATAGAAGCTCTGACCAGAGTTAATGGGGAGCAGGCTAGGTGGCAGAGGAGTACTTTTATTTTTTGGTTCCAGGAAACTAATGAGGGGTTCCTTATCCTTCCCTATGCCCTGGATAATGGCAGATGCATGCTTGTCCCCCAGCAGCCGCCGCTCCTCTTCACACAGTGTCATGCGATGATCATGAACAGCATGTGTGGCAAAGGAGCGTGCATAGCCAAAGGACAGCTTGCAGAGAAAACACATGAGAATGGGTTTGCCCTTGCCATAGAGGGCCAACCCATCAAATTTGGAGAAATCCACGTTGTTGGGAACATCTTTGGATACACATGACTTCTTGGCAGACCCATCACTGTTTAGGTAATCCTTGTTGCTTTTGTGCCGCACATCAAAAACACGAAAACTGTGCAGAACAGGGCTGAGGCCTGCCATAGTTGAGGTATTGGGGAATCCTTGGTCTGAGTTACCAAACCACTTCCCAAATGATGAGGCTATGTGAAACGTATTGATGATCTGAGGGTAGACTGTCCCTGCAGGTTCCCCTGCTTTCCCCCCACTGCTGAGAGAGTTTGTGGGGAGTAGGCCCGGTACCATACCCCCACCACTTTGGATCAACTGACTCAGGCTCTCTACTATGTAGGCTGAGCCATCTGGCTGGTAGACTATCTCTCCGGCCAAGTTCTCCACATCACTACTCTCCTCTTCCTCTTCCTCCTCCCCTTCACTTCCACTCTCAGGGGTTCCCTGATGTCTTCTGGCCTGGTGACGCAGCAGAGAGGGTATGCCCCCTCCTCCCCTTGGAGCCATGGTAACCCCAGGAAAAGGCTGAAGACTTGGAAAACAGCTATCAATCTCCATTTCATCCAAGTCCTCTAAGTCTTCCTCCTCTCCACAGCTCACTCCTTCCTGCTCCTCCTCCTCCTCGAGGCCCTCTCTTCTAGAGCCCAGCTGGCCTGTGGCAGAGCTGTCCAGCTGGGTGAGTGGTGATGTCTGTTTTGGCTGCTCTCTCACCCCGTCATGAGGTGCACTGGAGTTTTGGCCAAGAGAAGGATATGGACTGGGGATGGACAGAGGGTCCAGGGAAGGGGCCTGGTTGGTACAAGGGACCTGTGAGCTAGAGTGATCGTTCCAGGGCTGTGGTGGTTTCTGCTGCTGGGAGGAGCCAAGCCCATTGTCTGTCCCAGAAACTACGGGAGACTCACAGCTGTCCATGCTGATGCCTACATGAGGCGTTCATCGCATCCAGGCCTGTGAAGACACAAAGTTAAAAAATGCATTATTACACTGTATTTATGATTATTGTTTGGAGACATTAAGTAAAAATACACACAGATAATGACAGGGAGAGAAATAGATGATATGGTGATTATTATGCCTATAATGGAAAATAAAAAGACCAGTATAAAAGCATTAAAAGATTCAACCTAGATGCATGGCACATAGGGTGAAAGACAAAAGTATGAGATATAATTGGAAAAATGACATGGCGCTCATTACAGTAGATTAGGCACTTAAACACAATACCTGAGACAAGCACTAATAAGCCGTCCATGATTCATCTGCCTGCCATATCAAGAAGGTACCATCTTTTATCTTCACCTTCCAAACAACACCCCTAATCTTATATTCTGCAGATCCTACATCCGTTTTTAATTAACTCGCAGTCAGAAAGAGAGAGAAACAGGCTAACTTAATGGATCAAATAGATTCGTTGAGAGATAATTAGACACTGAAAAACCACCCATCAGTGTGTGGTACTTTTACATAACCAACAAAAACATGAAACCCTCATACTATTGCTTTTTTTAAACTTGAGTGCATACAGTTAGAGTAAATGTAACTATCAAGAAAAGATGAGACAAACCATACAAGAATTTTTACAGTGCCTAAAATACATGAGCTTAGTGGGTACCTTGCTACAGCTGTGTATCCGACATCCAATAACCTCCACACTCAAATGCTCCAGCCATCTTTTAGCCTCTGAAATAATAAATGGGAGCTGAGCATTCGGGAGCCTGGCCATGCCCCGAGCATCTGAGAGGCCCAACACAGGCAGCAATTTAGAGCGCAGAAGAGATAAAATGATAGCACCAGATACTGCTGAGCTAATAATTTTATTAAAGGGATGCAGCCAGCATTGATTAAAGGGGGCAATCGGGCTGAAACCAATAACTCCGGCCTGCCCTTTAACCTGCTAGTGCTGAATATTACATGAGCAAAGTTTCCCGGCACCACGCTTGCTGCCATGTTTCAGCTGATTAGCACATTCACTGCACCCACTTGATTTATTTACTTATTTACTTAGAGATGCAAATTTCAGCTGTGATCAGAATAGAGTCTACCCCCACACACCGTCACATATTAAGCTGTGAGGCAGAGGGGAGATTGATAATGTCTGCATGCTTCTTCATGAATGTCTGATGAAGAGCTCTTTCAACACTGCAGCTCATAAGGATTACTCAACCTTATGTTGTAATGGAAAATAAATAAATCATTGTGGACTGCTAAACTACTGAAATTTCACTCTACTGATGACCAAAACACTATTGTTGAAGAAATATAAAATCGCAAATTGTAAATATGCTGCACATGTATGCAGCAATGCAGCTTTGATTGTTTAGGTCACATGAATGAGAAAGATTTGAATGACTATAGTGTCAAAAAAAGGATTATAGAAGAAAAAAAAGTTATATTAAAATGATTCAGGCTCAGTAACTATTTAATTAAGGGGGCAGGAGTTAGGGTTAGGGCATTAAGTAGTTGCTAAGCCTGAATCATTCTTAATAAACCAATCAATAAAAATCAATAAGAACTGAGACTTTGTTCATGCTTTATTATGGCTATTAAAGTTGTAGTTATTATAAAGTGTCACAAAATAAATAAATAAAAAGTAAATAAAAAATAAAAAGTGAAAGCAGTCAAATGAAAAATTTAACAGCTTTAGATTTTGTTTAGGTTTGTCCTAGCAAGCTTTGATTTTGATTTGAAGTGTACTATACTGTCTAAGCGCAGTACTGCCTGACACCTTGCTCATGTAATCTGTAGCATCGACTCCTCCTCTAGATTCCAGTGCCTGCCCCGACCAGGCCTGACACACTGGGCCCACATGCAAAAAGTCATTAACATTTCTTCTCACACATGACCTGAAAAGTTTCTCTTTTCGCACCCTCCTACCCCTATCCCTTTGCGCTTCTCCCTATAAAATATACCTACAACAATTAGTGGCAGACAGGATCACATAATGCCTGCAGACTGGAGCTCAGAGCGCCGTGTCCACTGCTTACAGAAAACAGGATTGCCCTTTAAAATCAAGATGGTGTAATTCAATAACCTGCAGCGGTTACTGATGAGCAATGGGATTGTCTGGAGTCGGCAAGTCGCAGATGGGCCCGCTGATATAACACTGTTTGCCTCTCCAAGGTCTGCCTGGCTCAGTCACACCTGTTTAGAGCTTTAATACCCTGAAAAGACTGAGCTAGTACAGGACGCAGACAAGGAGATGCTATAGAAAGTGAAGAAAGAGCTATTTTAAATAAAGCAACCGTGTTATTATACTGCTAAGGTAATATGTTGGCAAATCCAGTCTGAACAACATGAGAAAACAATAACAATAGACTACGCGCAGACTGACAAATCCCCAATGACAGTAGTATAATTTATTAGTACTTTGAAACTATGTAACTTTACAGGTGGAGGATCTGCCACCTGTTAGTCTCCATGGAGATGTTACTCCTTTACCTGGAATGTTCAACAATATGGCATAAAACTTATCTACCTCCTTGGAAACAAGCAGGTGATTTTCAGAGAAGCAATCCCACTCGCATTAAGTGCATTAAGTCACATTATTTTAATAAATACAAGATCCATAAGTGTAATGCAATTCTGGTGAAGATTCCAGACAAAGCAAAAATACCCAGAAGACCAGCAGATGACTAACTCTCCACCAGAAAAGTTACATAGTGCCCCTTTAACAAAACTACCAAACAGCAGATACAATTCATACCTGTAAGAGATGTTGATTAGTAGGGCTAGAGATCAAAATGAAATACAGTAATAATTTGATTACAAGCAAGTTTGATCACATCCCTATAGGGTTTGGTCAGACCTTATGAGGACCCACTCTCTTTTGGGGATGATTACAGCTTTATTACACCACAAACTAACTAAGCACTAGATATGATGTGGATCTTTGCCTTCCCCTTACTACATCAGCAGTCAGAGAATAACACTCAAAAAAAGAAAAAAAATGTAATTCTTAATATGCCTCGAGGCCCCTTAACAATACAGGCGGCCTTAGTTTATAGTGTCCCTCAGTGATGTTGCTCATCTGTGTTTGGTCTGGGAGACATCACAGAGCCAGGCCAGCCACCGCAGGGTACAGGGTGCTTATTGGAAAATCAATGGTGTGAACGCTAAGCAAGTTACAGGAAGATGTGGGAAGGAAGGGTTCTTATTGATAAAGCAGGAGAAGGCTTTTGATGTTGCACTAGGGACATGCTCATTGATGGGAGAACCATTGTAGTCCTGAGGCGGAGTACGGCCCGGGTTTATCTTAGAGTTTTGTTACAATTACCTCTCAATAAAGGCAAGCATTTGTTGTTCTCATTAGCATAAGTCAATGATGCAATTAGACAAAATAAACAATATCTTATTTGGATAAATAATAGTAATAGTATGGATGTGCTGTGTGATTGGTGGTGCTCGGAGAACTGATGGTGCAGACTGGTCTTGCTACCCTCAGTCTACCCCAGGGCAGCTATGGCTCCAATAACCTCTTACCATCAAGTATGAAATTAATGAATAATGTATGAAATTGGAAAGCAACATCTGGAAAAGTATGATCTAACACTAATGCATTATTATTTATTTTTATTATTAACAAAAACAAACATAGCCATTAAAAGTTTAACATCTATCCATTACATTATCCATGTCCGGGACAGAGAAAAGAGATTTGGTTTAATCCTGCTAAGATCAAAACAATACCAACAATACACCACACATATGATTAATTTTTTAAGTGAAAACTTCACTGACATAAATTTTACATGCCACTTTTATTCCACAAATAAGCATATGTCTATATTATTTTTCTAAACTGTATACAAATACAAATTAAATATAAATGCACAAAAGGGAATCTTAATTTACGTGAAGACAACATAGTTTAGTAATGTCTTGCTCTTCTCACCTGTCTCTATGGAGCATTGTAAACATTGACACAATTCAAGTTTGTAATTGAATCTAAGTAAAAAGAGCAGTGCTGTTGATGATTGCATATATCATCTTTACCTATTGTGCTAATGCAGACGTACAGGAGCTACAGTAGTGCTTGAGCAGCAGGAGGCAAAAGTCACCTCAGGTCGATGGCACTCAGCCTGTAAACAGGGCTTCCCGTAAAATCAATGATCTTCAGTAGGAGCTATCAGTCTGTGCAACAGAAATAGCCATGGCTGTGTTGACTCTGAGACGGAGAGAGAGAAAGAGAAAGAGAGAGAGAGGGTGGGGACTGGTCTGGGTGTTTACAAGTGTGTGAGTAAAAAGGCACAGTCACTACAAAGATGCTATTTCTACTGGATATTAAGTCCAAAATCATTCATATCCTGCACAAATTTGTAAGATCTGATCAGGTTTTCTTTATTGTGTCCATATTGGTGCATTTCGGAATTTAGAATGGAATGTCATCACCACAGATGGAGTGCAAGAGCCAGTTTTTTGATGATTTTTGATGACATTGTACTTTGCCATGAACATAAACAAATGTTGAAACTGATCATATTCATTGATTAGGTCCAAGAACTCAAAAAACTGCATTACAACAATATTAAGTTTAGTTGCCTCCCCCTGTATTAAATGTTACTGGCCCAAATAAAGCCACCAACCCACCAAAACCCACCAACTGCAAAATTTGTCCTCTGCATTTGATTCATATCAATCACTGCCAATGGCAAAAAGTCAAGATAAGCTATCTTCTCTGTTTTTAAATAGGACATTAAAAAACTGTGGCCCACATTTTTAAATAAGCAAAAAAAATATCAGCTTTTAATCATTGAGGTTTTTGTGCAAAGAATTTGGACTTTCTTTTGCAGATATATCTTGTTTCTTGAGGGTAAAACCCAGGAAATTAATAAAACAAAGTTGCACAAACATAGCTCAACTGAGGCTTCTTTATATCTGTGCTGCAAACCAAAGGGATGGAGGGAAGATCAGATTTCTAAATACTAAATAAAATTGCCCAGGAGGAAAAG